ACAGGAGACGAGGGAGGAGGAGAAAAGGAGACGTGGGGGAGGAGGAGGAGGAGGAGGAAGAAGAGGTGGAGGAGGACGAGAACGAAGAGAAGGAGGGGAGGACGGAGGAGGAGGAGGAGGAGAAACAGGACGAGGGGGGAGGAAGAGAGGAGGAGGAGAAACAGGAGACGAGGAGGAGGAGGAGGAGGGGAGGAGGAGGAGGAGGAGGAGGAGAGGAGGAGGAGGAGGAGGAGGGAGGAGAGGGAGGAGGAGGGCGAGAACGAGGAGAAGAGGGAGGAGGGGGAGGACGAGGACGAGGAGGAGGAGGAGGAGGAGAACGACGACGACGACGAAAAGGAGAAATAAAAGGAAAAGATGTGAAGGGGAAAAATAAGATAAAAAACAGAACAGTAAGGAAACGAGAAGCAAAGAAAGAAAGGCAATAACATGGGGTAGGAAGACGAACGAACAAAAGGAGACAGGAAGAAGACGATGAATATCGAACGCGAAGGGGAGACAGCGAAGCAAATTCACTAACGAAGGAGGGGAAAGGCAAGGGTCGAAAAACAAGGAATGATTATAATATAATATATAATATATATATATATATATATATATAATATATTACAAAAGCCATCACAGAAAATGGCAAAATAGCACAGGGGAGAACGATAAAAAAATATATAACATAAAAATACGTTAGGGAGACGACAGAGAGGACTCAAGAGAAAACACACTAAAGAAATTAACAAAACTAATAAAGTATCAAAACGCAAAAATAAATAAATGACAAAGGAATAACATAAAAACAAACAAAAAATAAAAAACAAAGAAATCGAAGGGGCGAGCCAGGCAAGAGCAATAAGTGTATTGAGGAGAAAATCGACCAATATCAAGATGGGGAGAGGGAATGCGGGAGGGGAAGGGGAAGGGGGAGGGGGAGGGGGGAGGAGGAGAGAGGGGGAACAAGAGGGGAGAGGGGAGGGAGAGGGAGGAGGGTAGAGAGGGCGAGGGAGAGGGATCGAGGGAGGCAGGGAGAGAGGAGGGGAGACGAGGGGACTGCCGAAGGGTAATGAGGAGGGCCGTGTGGCCGTGGCATGGCCGGATGTAGGGGAAGAGAGGGAGGAGGAGGGAGGAGGAGAGATTGGGTGGAAAAGGGGAGAGAGGAAGCAGGGCGGGGAGGGAGAGAGATAGGCATGGTGGGCGGTGGGCGGTGCCACGTGGCGTAAGAGAAGGGGGGCGCAGAAGAGGGAGGCGGAGTAGTAGTGTACGCGATGTTGGGGGAAAGAGGAGGAGATTATGATGATGATGAGGAGGTGGTAGAGTAAACAGAGAAGAAGGCAGACGAAGACGAGAAGTAGACGAGGGGTCAAAAGGGGGAATAAAAAAAAGTCTTATATGACCTCGAAACAGATGATGGAGAGGACAAGGGATACGCGAAGGTTCGCGGGGAGGAGGAGGAGGAGGGGGAGGAGGGGCAGACAAGGAAAGTCCTGTGAGTGTTTCCCAGCCGCCCCCACTCCCCTGCCTTACCTGAGAGATAAATAAAAAACACCCTCCCTCGCCACCCTTGTCCCCACTCCATACTACCTCTCCCAAAACTTCACTGACCTATCCCAGTAATGATTGTGCTGACCCTCAAGCCAGCGACATCCAACATAACACAAGTCGGTGTGCTCACATAAGGACACTTACACACACACACACACACACACACACACCACACACACACACACACACACACCACACACACACACACACACACACACACACACACACACCACAACACACACACACACACACACACACACACACACTACACACACCCACACACATATATATTATACACAGACCGCATATGTATATATATATCAAAACGGAGCAGACGTGATGCTGTTTGACACAGATGTCTAAGTTTGACCCCACAGCTGTGAGGGTCAGATAAGGTCAGGTCAGGTAAGCTAAGTAGCATCACCTGGGGGCTCACCTGCCTATTAACAGGTAAACGCTGGACGATCTATAACCCAAACATCGCTCATTGCTTTCATCGTCGTTTCGCCAGAAAGGGAAGACCTGCAACGGCAAAACAACAACAAACACAACGTTACCGACGGCGACAAAATCCTCGTTCACACCTGACCCGAAACCCCCTCCCTCCCGCCTCTCCCGCGGGAATCGGCAAGCAGCGAGGAGGCGCTTGAGAAACCAGCCCCTTCCCGCCTCGCGCACCGCCTTCGCCGCCGGAATTGAGCAACGGCAATTTGGTTTAGCGTACTGTATTATATATGAGGACTCCATGAGAATTTGTGGCTCGGCGGCGAACACGCACACGCCCTCACGCACTCATTACTCTTACGCACATGCATTCGGACAGTTATGACGGGCCGTGTGCGCCTCCCCACGCGTCCACTCGCCCACTTGCATAATCCAATTCCTGGAAGGAGAAAGAATCTAGATCTCGTGTGACATTCGTTTCCTCTCTCACCCACGCCACGTTACGCCACCCCAACCGTTACCGCAACCGTCACCCGCCCGCCCACGCCCGCCCGCACGCATTCACCTGCGAGCCAGCTACACTCCACTAACGTAATTTCCTACGCCGCAAGAAAAAAAAAACTTATTACCAACTGCAAACAAACACGGTGGAAAAAACGAAAGGGGAACGTGACTGCCGCGCCAAGTTAGCGTAAAAGTGATAGGGTCCGTTCACCATCGCGCCGCCCAGGCTTTTCGTCATCCGCCCGCACGCTCACTCCGCCCTTGACGCCGCCGCACTACAACAACTCGTGCTACTGGTCCGGCGGCCTTTAAAAGGATCGCGTTTAAAAGCCCTTGAAGCACATCAACGCAGGCAGAAGGAGATGGCTCGCGCTTTCTTGGCTAGGCCTCTGCCTTGCTCGCCCCCGCCTTATAGTTCTGTCTGTATGTCTGTCTTCCCCCTCCCTCTCTCTCTCTCCCTCTCTCCCTCCTCCCTCCCCTCTCTCTACCAGACCCATTTTGGCCCCGTCAGCACACGAGTCCATTCCCCGTTGTTCTGTGGGAGTGACCTTTCTCCAACAATGGGCTCTCTGGCATTATTGTTCACCCTTTCGCAATCTGATTCATCTTCTTGAACATGTTCGAAAAAATCTGACAGCTTGCTCGATGAATTAGTCGAATCTGCTACCATTAATCTAGACACTCACACCTTTGGATTTACTTGTCATTAGAGTTGCTTGTCTGTCTGCCCACATCTTTCGTCATTGATTCTCTCGAAAACACATTCTCTTCTCTGTCTCTGTCTCTATCTCTCTCCCCCTCTCTCTTTCTTCTCCCCCTGTTGTCTGTGTCTGTCTGTCTCTGTCTCTCTCTCTCTCTCTCTCTCTCTCTCTCTCTCTCTCTCTCTCTCTCTCTCTCTTCTCTCTCTCTCTCTCTCTCTCTCTCTCTCTCTCTCTTACTCGTCACTGTTTGTCTGTCTATCTGTCTGTCTGTTTTCTCTGTCTCGTCTCCCTCTACCTCTCTTCCTCTCTCCCACTCCCTCTCCCCTCTCCCTCCCTGATCCTTCCCACACTGATCCGCCACCTGACCCGCCTTCCCCTGAGAAAGTACGGCGCCGGGAAGGAAGTCGTGACGCCGCCTCGCTGGGGCAAGGACGACATGCTTCCAACACTCCATCTTACCCCCTCCCCTCCCCCGGCGTTTTTCTCTCCTCTCGTCTCCCTTTCCCCTCCCTTCGTCTCACATCCACTCTGTTCTGCTCTTATCTCGTAATCCATTTTTTCGATTTTTTTCTCTTCTCTCTCCTTTCTAACATCTTTTCTCGCCTTTTCTCTTCTCTCCTCTCTCCTCCTTCTTTATCCCCTTCCCTCCCGCTACACTATCTGTCTGTCTGTCTCTGTCTCTCTCTATCGCAACTATTTCTTATCACCACAATAAAAAACGTCGCAACAAAAGTCGATCCAAGACTGCCAAAGATAACGCGGAGTCCCCCCCCCCCCTCCCCGCCGCCGCCGCCGCGCCCCCACCCAGCCGCGACGACGACGAGGCGACACCCAGTCAGAAAAATGCAAGTGCACGACAGCCACCGTCGCCTTTTGTCCCTTAACACAATTGCCGTCGCCTCCCTCTCTCCCTCTCCCTCCTCCCTCCCTCCTCCTCCCTCTCCTCTGCCCCCCCCCACCACACGCCCTTCCCCACCCCACCCCCCTACCACACGCACACTCCACCCACAGTGCACGTGCTGAGTAGCAACGGCACTTAAAAAGCTTGTTTTATTACAATTCTTAAGTGTGTCCAAAGTGCGGTTCTGGAGCAAACCCTCGCCGTCGTTGTTTGTAGCTTAGTGTGTCGGGGAGGGGGTAGAGGGGGAGGGCGGGGTCGAAAGCAATGTGTTTACTTCTTAAGTGTTATGGAAACTAATTGATGCAAATGGCATTTATGTGAACAAATAAAATAAAAGAATCACATAAAAACGTACACGGGCATATGTGCGTGTGTGCACCGCCCTCCCTTTCCACTCTGACCTCTGACCCAGCGACTCCGGGGTCATCTGTGGCACTCGAGAATGGAAGAAAAAAACAATGATTACACGGTCGCCTCGACATGCACACGGACTGACACACACTGACACACAGACATGGAGAGGCAGTCTATTGTGTTCCTTTCACACACACACATATACATATACATATACCTATACATATACATACACATGTACATACACATTTACACACACAAACACACAAACACACGAACTCACACAAACACGAAAACTCACACTCTCACACAAACACGAAAACTCACACTCACACACACACACACACACACACACACACACACACACACACACACACACACACACACACACAACACACACACACACACACACACACACACACACACACACACACACACACACGCACACGCACGCACACGCACGCACGCACGCACGCACGCACGCACGCACGCACGCACGCAACACACGAACTCACACACAAACACACACTCAAAACTCACACTCGCGCGCCCGCCCGCAGACTCACCTTGGTCTCATTGAACTTGTTGTAGGACAGCAGCACCTCCTCGCACCTGTACACCATGTTTGCAAAGCTCGGTAAACTTGGCACAGGCAGAACACACTTAAGAGGCGGAACACTCTCTCAAAAGCGGAACACACTCTTGAAAACACACGCGCCGCCCACGCCTGCTGTCTCGTGGGCGGGGAAGGGGGAAAGAGAGTCGATCTTCCTCAGAGATTTTTCAGGCTGAAGGAAAAATCCACAATATTTTTTTGTCTCTTTTTCCCTCCTCTTTTCAAAACGCTTCGATCTTCCTCAGCTCTCTCGGACTGAGGAAAATCTTCACAAATCTTCGTCCCTCTTCTTTATTCTTCCTTGTTGCTTGATTCCACTTTTTTTTTAACTCTCTCTCTCTCTCTCTCCGCCGTCACTCGTTCTACTCCATGGCGTCACTCCACTTCTCTCTCGTCACGCCCGAAACGAGCGCTCGATCGGGACATGCATCACAAGCTAGATTCTCTCCCTCTCCGACTTTTTTTTCTCCTTCCTTTTTGCGTTATCTTTTCCTTCGTATAGCTTTATTCCAAGTCATTTATTCACTCACTAGAGAAAAGAAAAAAACGAAACCATGAAAATACTTCAAACTCGTCAAAGAAGGGCTCAAATAAGCCGCGGCAAGAATGCAATCCGTTACTTTCAAAATTAATTCTTATCGGTGACTCACTCGCGATATTCAGCCAGGCCTGTTGCTCCCTCGCCCGCCCGCCCAACCCCCGCCCGCCCCGCCCCTCCCCGTCCTATCGCTCCCTGATAACCGCCTCATCCTTATCCCCATCCTCGTCCACGTCTTCCCGTTCCTCTACCGTTCTCTTCCTGGCTCTTCTCGTTCCCGTTCCTTTTTCTCTCGTTATACTCTACTCCCCTCAACTTTTCTCTTCTCCTCCACCCGTTTTCCTTCTTTCTCTCTTTTATATCTCTTACCCTCACTTCCTTCCTTCCCTCCCTTTCCCCCTCCTCCCTCAATCCTCCTCCCCTCCCCCTCCCCTCCCCTCCCCCTCGTCTCTCCTCCCTCCCCTCCTCTCCTCCCTCCCTCCCTCCTCCCTCCTCCTCCTCCTCCTCTCCTCCTCCTCCTCCTCCTCCTCCTTCTCTCCTCTCTCCTCCTCCTCTCCTCCCTCTCAAGTTCGCACTACCAAGGCGAGCCAAGGAACGCAGTCGTAGGCCAAGTGTGGAGGAACAGCTGCTCCCTCCCTCCCTCCCTCCCTTACCCTCTCCTCTCTCTATCTTTTAATTTTTTTTTCTCTTTCTCTTTCTCTCTCGCTCTTCCCTTTTTATGTTTATCATCTCTTCATCTCCTTCGGCAAATCTATTTCCCATTTTCCCTTCAGTATCTCCTCTCCCGTTTCATCTATCCTTCATACTTCTTTTACTCGTTTTCCTCCCTTTCTTCTCTCTTTTCCCTCCCGCTCGTGCTCTTTTTCCCCACCTTTTTAATCCTCTTTTGTTCTGTTATCTCCCCCTCTCGCTTATCTGTCCTTCATTCGATTGGTTCAATCAATACATCTCTTGACTTAAAATTGAACTGAGAAAGAAAGAAAGAAGGAGGGTAAGGGAGAAAGAAAGAAAGGAAGAGGAAGAAGGGAGAAAGAAAGAAGAGAAGGAAGGAGAAAGGAAGAAAGGAAGGGAGAAAGGAAGGGAGAAGAAAGAGAAGAGAGAAGAGAGAGAGAGAGAGAGAGAGAGAGAGAGAGAGAGAGAGAGAGAGAGAGAGAGAGAGAGAGACGAAGAGAGAGAGAGAGAGAGAGAGAGAGAGAGAGAGAGAGAATATATCAAGAATAAAGACGAATGAATTGAATAAAGAGGGCAAAAGGGCGAGTGAAACAAAAGAAAGCGGGGAGGCAATAAAGAAAGGGAGAGAGAGAGAGAGAGTGCGCGCGTGTGTGTGTGTGAGAGAGAGAAAATGAATTCCCCGCCAGAATTTAGGTTATTTCGTGAACCGTATAAGAGTCGACCCCCCCCTCCCCATCGTTATTCCGAGGCCGTCCATGGGCCATCCTGTGGGCGCGTTTCTAGGTACGAGAGAGAGAGAGGAAAGGGAGGGGAGGAAGGAGGGAGACAGGAAGTGAGAGAGAGGGAGTGGGGGGAGAGGGAGGGAGGAGGAGGGAGGGAGGGAGGGAGGGAGGAGGAGGGAGGAGGGAGGCGAGGAGGGAGGGAGGGAGGGAGGAGGAAGGAAGGGAGGGAGGGAGGAAGAAGGGAGGGAGGGAGGAGAGGGAGGAGAGAAGGAAGAGAGGGAGAGGAGTGAGAGGAGGAGAGAGAGAGAGAGGAGAGAGAGAGAGAGAGAGAGAGAGAGAGAGAGAGTGTGTGTGTGTGTGTGTGTGTGTGTGTGTGTGTGTGTGTGTGTGTGTGTGTGTGTGTGTGTGTGTGTGTGTGTGTGTGTGTGGTGTGTGTGTGTGTGTGCACGTGTGCGCTGGGCAGTGTGGGTAGGGGAGGGTGGAAGGGAGAGGGAGAGGGTAAGGCACAGTAGTCACGGCACAGTATGATGGCACTCTTATGGCACAGATGAGAAGATTGCCCCAAACGCCCTACGCCAGCCCGCACCCCCTCCACCCCACGCCGCCCACCCCCTCCCCCAGCTGCCACGACCCATTTGGTTTGGAGGGCTCTCTTGCGCCTCTGCCGCCGCCCTCGCCCTCCACGCTCACTCTCCGCCCTCACTCGGAGAGGAGGCCGTGGAACGTTGTTTCTCCACGAAACGAATTCTGCTTCGCGCATTTTTTTTCCCAAAATATAAACAAACATTCGGTCCGACGAGATATTACAAAGATAAGACAAAGACGAAACGTAAAATGAACATAAACAAATCATATAAAAAAAAATGCTTCTACGACATCGTAACATTATTGCAAGTTCTGGACCTACGGTATTGGGCATGGCATACCCTTGGGCAAATAATCAAATAATCCTTATCCATAATCCATAATCATTATCCATAGCCATAAGTTTCCTTTTCTATAAGCTACACCTCAATGTTATTTCATAAGCTGTTGGGACAACCCCTTCGTAAAAGAAAAAAAATAACTAGAAAATAATTAACTTTGAATTCTAAAAGACATCACTCTCAAACACTCCAAACAAGCAATACGCAAGCAAATACAATCCTACTATCAACACAAAGGTTCAAATTAAACCCTCCCTTTCCCCGCGCTTCCTTTCACAACAAGTGTCGAAATGAACTGCGCTCGAAGCTCACTCGCGGCGCCAACGACATCCGGGAAATCTCGGCGATCGCGATGCACATAAGGGGCGGAGGGGGGGGGGGGGGGGGGGATGAAAGGGGGATAAGAGATGGAGGAAAAATGATGAGTGAAAAAAGAGAGAATAGAAGAGAAGGGGTTGAGAGGAAAGGAACGACGGGGATAATGATGAAAGGAGGAGGAGGAGAAAAAAAAGTAGGTGGAAAAGGGGGTAGAGAGTGAATGAGAATCGTTGGAAGAGGAAACAAGTAAGAAGAACGAAGAAAAGGGAAGAGAAGAAAGAAGAAATGGAAGAAGCGAAGAATGAAGAGGAAGGAAGCGTTAGTGAAGACCCGAAATCCACCTGGAGTTCCCTTGGCTCGCTGCCGCCTTCGACCTCACCCCGGACAGCAACCAATTCAATATACATTCTGTGCCAACTATATTCAATGACCCTTGACCCAAGGAACGAATTCCTACGGACAATACCCCCGAGCACACACACTTATGAGGGGCACACGGACATTGCCACGAGCAAGCACACACGCACACAAACAAACGAGTCCTCCCTCACCCACTCATTCACACACTCACTCGAACAGGCTCCCGCAGCCTTAAACATAGCGGATCACGAGGTCGGAAATACCTGCTTGTTCCCCCTTCTTCGTATGCTGCTGCCCTCACCCCCCCTTCATCACCTCGCCTGATAACCCCCCCTTCCCAATGTCCCTGCCGACCACTGTACCCCCCACCCGTTCTATCCACACGCCCCGCCCACAGACACACGCATGTTGGCCGTCCCTTGTGCCCCTGCATTTTATTGCAATACTTTGAGTCCTTTCGGCCAGCGCCCAGCAGCAGAGGGATCAGCAGAAGCGGCACAAGCAGCAGAAGCAGGTGGAGCCGACCACGCTGCCCACGACACGCGAACCCGATCGCTATGACAGCGCCAGTGATCCGCTAATGCCTTTTATGGAGACTGTCAGTTAGACATGCCCCCTGCCCTCCCTCCCACCCATCCTGGCTGCCTCCCTCCTACCTGCCCGCTCCCCGACCTGCCCCTTCCCCCGACCCCCCGATCCCGTCCTCCCCCACCGCCACCACCTCCTCTTCCTCCTCAGCATCTTAAAATGTCTACTTTCTATTGATGATTCCTGTCTACCTTTCTACCTTTCACTCTCCGGTCGCATTTTCCCTCCATTCTTTGTCTTCGTCTTTCCTTTTTCTCTCTCACTCTCCTTCTCCTTCTCCCTCTCTTTCTCTCTTTCCTTTTCTCTTTTCCTCTCCCTCTCCCTCTCCCTCTCCTCTCCCTTCCTTCTCCCTCTTCCTCTCCTTCTCCCTCCCAATACCTCTCTCATTGCTCTAAATAAATTTTCAAATCATCCTCTAGCCGTACCATTGTTCCCGGACACTTGACTCTTTAAAATCATTGCACATAACAACGAGGACACTGTCGAGGTTACAGGTGGACATTGCCAACTTCAACTAAGTTTTCTTAATGGCCACTTTTTTGGACATCAATCTCCCTATCCCTTCCTTTCGACAAGGGGCTAAAACGCTTGGCTTGGGTCTTCAGCAGCGCCCTTGGGCACGGCTCCCTTTTCTGGGTGTCACTCGTCCAGGTGCAGATCCTTGAGATTCTCATGAACCGGGGTGATCCTTCCCCTGGATCTACCCCTGGCCTGCTCCTTTCCCTCCGAACAGGTGTTAAGATCTCCCTTGGCCACAATCAAATCTGCCCTCTGCTCTGGGCCTCCAGGATCTTCAAGAAGTACAGGCAAACCTGCCTCCCGCCCTTGAGCCCATGAGCTCTCCCCTGAGCACAGATAGGCCTGCTTCCTCCCCTGGGATCTTATAGGGGACGCTAAGGCCTAGGCACACGTGACCGCGGGCTGCAGGTCTCACATGAGAGCTTCCCGCAGGGGGACATTCCACGGCCTCTAGAGGCTTACACGTCACTTCTGCGCGTTATCACTCCGTCACTGTTTACACTTCCAGCCGTTACGCTCTCGTCACTGCGCAATATCACTCGCTATCCTGTCGGCTGCGCTTCCAGAAGCTCAAAGACGAGCACGCAATACTTCTACGCCAGACGGAGGCGTGCACTTTTCGGCCCTTAAACACAAACGCTTTTCAAAATCGGAGTTTATTTCAGGTAGACCTGGGCGGCCCCCGCGCATTCCCGTGGCCAAATGAATCCGAATCCACGAAGGGAGAAAGGCGACTGGAAAGGGCAGGGGGCTGCGACCCCTCTCTACCTTATCCGACACGGAGCACGGGGAGGGAAACCCTGCCGACGCACGAGCGCGCACCTGCGTCTCCGAAGCGATACGGGAGGAAACTTGCGACTAGATCGGGGCTGCTCTCTGGCCGCCCCTCCGCCACGCTCTTCCATCCCGCCCCACCCCTCCCTCCCCTTCCCGACCTCCCTTCCCCACCCTGCCTCCCCCGCGGGGTGCCTGCTGGTACTAAAAATGCGACAAGAATCTCCTCCTTTGTGCCCTCGCCGTCGCCCCTGTTCGCCTCTGGCCATCGCAGCCGCCCACGACCAAGGTGCCCGAGTCACGCCGAAGCGCCGCTCGCCCTCGGCCTCCCGAAGGAGATGGAAAATAATTGGAAGATTTCCAGAGTAGCGAGCAACCCTCGGCCTGGCCTGCCTGCCTGCCTCTTGAGAAAGTCTACAGCGTTCAGTTGCTGGATCGCTGCCCGTGCATCTGTCGAGCCTTCCCTCCCTTTGAACTCGAGCCTTGGGCAGCACCTGGCCGAAGGGGGGCGTTATGCCCCCGACAGCCCCTCAGGTGGCCGAAGGAGCAGTTTCCCAAACTCGAAACCCCGTAAGTGTCCGTCCAGGAAGTAAAACAAAGCTCTCCGTGTGGCATCAGGATCCAGACCAATTACCGGGGGCCCTTGAGCGAGCGTCCGGCCGCGCGGTCCTTCGCTCCAACTGTGGAGACGACGTCACGCTCCGGATGGGGCCCGCGGCTCTTGGAGCTGGTTTTCATTTACATGCTGAAGTGCTAGCCGCAGCCGCAGCCGCCGCCGAGATCACGAGCGAGAGCTAAAACCAGCTGAGATGCTGAAACCCTACACCGCCGCCCGCACCGCCACCACCTGAGGAGCCCGCACGCAAGTTCGTCTGCCCCGCCTGCATCCGCATCGACACCGCAAGCACTCCGAGAAAAACCAGATCCGAACGCATCAAACGCCGACGTCCGCTTGCTCTTGCTGGCGAAAAGGAACGGAACAACTCGAGGAAGACGTTTATGTCCAACAAACAAACAAACAAACAATCAGGCAAACGCACACACAATCACGCACTCCGAACAGTCCCCACTCTCTCCCCCATGATAATTAACGGAGGTCATCATCACCAATTTCAACATCTCCCTCGTGGCAATTAGAGAGTTCACAGCCATACGCATAACGAGGCCACGCCCGCCCTTCATCTTCGGCACCGTCATCATCATAATTGTTAAATTACCGTGGTAATCATCCTGATCATTATCATCATGATAATCATCACGTTAACCACTATCTATAACACTGATCGCTTTAATCACCATCTGAACATTACATCATTTCACCATCAACTTCACCATCATCACTCCTACTTCCTTTCTTCCCCTCCCCCACCCCTTCACCCTCCCCCCACCCATCACCCACCACACAGGCAAGATGTCACACCACGTGACTTTCGTTCACGTGATGTCTAGGCACGTGAATCTCATCGACACCAAAGGAAACAACAAAACAAGAAAAAAAAGTGGCCACAAACGTGTAAATTTATTCCAGTGACTCGCCAACTCTAAGTTTCCATTTCCATCTCTTTTTCTTGGAGAGGGGGAGGGGCGGGGGAGGAAGAGGAAGAGGAGAGAGAGAGAGAGAGAGAGGGGGAGAGGAGGGAGGAGGGAGGGGAGAGGGAGATGGGAGAGGGAGTGGGCGGGAGGTAGAGGGAGAGAGAGAGAGAGAAAAGCGAGAAGAGAACAGAACAGAAGCGAGGAGGAGAAAAAAAAGGAAGAGATGAGAAGAAGTACCTAAATCGTCTAAGTTTCGAATATCCCTTCCGAACATCCACGCCAACGCCAACACCTAATATCCCTTCCCCTTCCCCCCTCCCCCTCCATATCCCTCTCCCTACCCCTCCCCTCCCTCTATATCCTTCTCCCTTCCTCCTCATCCTCCCTCCATATCCCTCTCCTTCCTCTCCTCCCCTCCCTCCCTCCATATCCTCTCCTTCCTTCCCCTCCCTCCATATCCCTCTCCCTTCCCCCATCCTCCCTCCATATCCCCTCTCCCTTCCCCTCCCCTCCCTCCATATCCCTCTCCCTTCCCCTCCCCTCCCTCCATATCCCTCCTCACCCTCCATATCCCTCTCCCTCCCCTCCCTCCATATTCACCCTCCCTCCCCCTCCCTCCACATCCCCCGCATGTCACGCAACAGATAAAAGCGAATCGCGTTATTATTCCGCTGGACGTGACGTGACGCGACCCGCCCTCCGTCACCGGGCCCGGGAGATGCGCGGGAAGGGATGGCTGGCTGGCTGGAGGGCTGTCACGCGGACTTTCTATGACATGTCACACGACCAGCATGACACCTAGAACGGCCACGTAACGAAGCACACATTCCTCGCGATAATGGAGTGGAAACGTATGTGCACAGAGAGGGAGGGAGGGAGGGAGGGAAGGAGAGGGTGGGAGGAGGGGGGGAGGGAAGGAAAGGGTGGGAGGGAGGGAGGGAGGGAGAGAGAGGAGAGAGAGAGAGAGAGAGAGAGAGAGAGAGAGAGAGAGAGAGAGAGAGAGAGAGAGAGAGAGAGAGAGAGAGAGAGAGAGAGAGAGAGGAGAGAGAGAGAGAGAGTGCCAGAATTTTGTTTTAGCAAATTCATGGGAGTGCGTGCGCGTTGGCCGGCGGGAAGGGAGGTGCCTTCAGTAATTGTATCCTTAGTGCGCACAAGTGTACTTTCGTGCTTGCGTGCGCGCCGCAGCTAAGGCGCGCGAAGGAGCCCCTGGGCGCAAGTGGGTCACGCTGACCTCGCCGCCGCCGCCCTCCGTAGGACCTCGGCCATCTGGGCCAAATGCTGGCCACTCCGGCCACTTCGGGCCTCGCGCCCAAGGTTAATCTACTCGCGAACACGAGGAGGCGAATAAACACGGAGAAAGAGGAGATGGAACAGGTGGTCAGGGCATAGGAGGGAGGATGATAGAGAGAGAGAGAGAGAGAGAGAGAGAGAGAGAGAGAGAGAGAGAGAGAGAGAGAGAGAAGAGAGAGAAGAGAGAGAGAGAGAGAGAGAGAGAGAGAGAGAGAGAGAGAGAGAGAAGAGAGAGAGAGAGAGAAGAGAAGAGAGAAGAGAGAGAGAGAGAGAGAGAGAGAGAGAGAGAGAGAGAGAGAGAGAGAGAGTGATTATGACTGAAGTCTTTATTTACTATCAAGAGTGGCATTATGCGTGAGCCTAAAAAATGGTTTCAGAGATGTTAAAACCTAGATGTCAGTGACGGAAGCGCTCGAGCAGGGTTCAGTGACAAATGCTAGAATCATTATGAATGACAGCGATTACCTTCACCAAGCAAAATGAAATCTGCCAAATAGTCACGCCGAATAATACCTCTTATTTCGATAAATCATTCGTGTCTTTCAAAAGGTAGCGCTCCGTGTGGTGCCATTCGTGCAGGTGCGGCGTCGCGGGGCCTGAACGCTCCCCTGCCCCGCCTGGTCCTGTTACCTCTTACCTATTCTCGTTCTGTGGCGACGGCCGTGACCCGAAGCGGCCTGTCGCCCGCTTGCCTTGATTCTCTTATTGCTATGATACACTTTTAGGTGAAAATAGAGCAGTGGCACCCGGTTTAAATCAGTCATCCTAACTAGCGCATACACAAACTACCACTCACCCACGCAAACATACGAACACTGATCACCCCACAAGCACACAGGACAGACATGTGCCCATCCGTGCCCCACGTAAAAAGAGAAAAAAAAAAAACGCACGCAACCCTCTTCCCCCAAGCACACAAACACATGCCCTCCACCCTCCCTTCCTCCCTCCGTCTCTCCCTCCCTACCCACTCACTCATGCACCCCCCCCCCCCTACACAACACACTCACCTCCACGGCATCGCGCTGGAGCGGCCGAGGAAGAGGAGAGCCAAGAGCCAGAACAGGTCTCGAGTTACGGTACAATCGCAGGTGTTTGCTGTACCCTGCCCAGTCCAGCAACCCCGCCCAGCCTGCCAACCCGCGTCAACCTCCCCCTCCTTCCAGACCTGTCCCTCTCCCCTCTCCCTCTCCCTCTCCCTCTCCCTCTCCCTCTCCCTCTCAACCCGCGCATATGTCGAGAGGGTGATGCGATTCTAGCCTTTTTGGTTCGATCAGAATGAGCAAAACATATGAGAGAGAGAGAGAGAGAGAGAGAGAGAGAGAGAGAGAGAGAGAGAGAGAGAGAGAGAGAGAGAGAGAGAGAGAGAGAGAGAGAGAGAGAGAGAGTGAGGAGAGAGAGAGAGAGAGAAGAGAGAGAGAAGAGAGAGAGAAGAGAGAGAGAGAATGAGAGAGAGAGAGAGAGAGAGAGAAATGAGAGAGGAGAGAGAGAGAGAGAGAAGAGAGAGAGAGTGAGAGAGAGAGAGAGAGAGAGAGAGAGAGAGAGAGAGAGAGAGAGAGAGAGAGAGAGAGAGAGAGAAGAGAGAGAAGAGAGAGAGAGAGAGAGAGAGAGAGAGAGAGAGAGAGAGAGAGAGAGAGAGAGAGAGAGAGAGGAGAGAGAGAGAGAGAGAGAGAGAGAGAATGAGAGAGAGAGAGAGAGAAAGAGGAGAGAATGAGAGAGATGGAGAGAGATGAGAATGAGAGAGAGATAGAGAGAATGAGAGAGAGAGAGAATGAGAAGAGAGATAGAGAGAATGAGAGAGAGAGAGAGAATAGAGATGAGAGAAGAGAATGAGAGAGAGAAAGAGAATGAGAGAGAGAGAGGAGAATGAGAAGAGAGAGAAGAGAGAGAGAGAGATGAGAGAGAGAGAGAGAGATGAGAGAGAGAGAGAGAGAATGAGAGAGAGAGAGAATGAGAAGAGAGAGAGAGAGAGAGAGAGAGAGAGAGAGAGAGAGAGAGAGAGAGAGAGAGAGAGAGAGAGAGAGAGAGAGAAGAGAGAGAGAGAGAGAGAGAGAGAGAGAGAGAGAGAGAGAGAGAGAGAGAGAGAGAGAAGAGAGAGAGAGAGAGAGAGAGAGAGAGAGAGAGAGAGAGAGAGAGAGAGAGAGAGAGAGAGAGAGAGAGAGAGAGAGAGAAGAGAGAGAGAGAGAGAGAGAGAGAGGGGGGGGGGAGCGGTCCTTTCGGAGATCGATCAACGTAACTGTTTCCATAGCGTTTTTTATTCGAGCTTTAGGTAAGGGAATTATGAGTCAGCGAAGTAAGGG